CTGGATTAGCCGGATGGCCCCAATCTCATCACACAAGCCCTTAAAAGCAAAGAACTTTCTCTGACTGGAGGCAGAGAGATGTGGCAGATGAAGAAGTCAGAGATTTAAAGCATGAGAGGTACTCAACCCACCTGTTAGAGAGGGGTCTTTGGAAAAGCATGAGAAGAAAAGCTGGCCTCTAGGAGCAAACACCAGCCCCCGGCTGACAGCCAGCAAGGAAACAGTTCTATGGTTTCACAACTGCAAGGAGCTGAACTCAAGCTGACATCCTGAACAAGCTTAAAAGCAGATGCATCTTCAGAGCCTCCAAAAAGGAACACAGCCCTGCAAACACCTTGATTTCAGCCCTGAGATGCTAAGAAGTGGACCCAGGTGAGCCCCCATTGTACACAGATTTCTGGCCTTCAGAATTGTGAGATAATAAATTTGTGTGGTTTTTAAGCTGCAATGTATGCAGTAATTTGTTATAGCAGCAATAGAAAAACCAATACAATCACCATGGACTTTGACAGCATAAGCAAATAAATCCCTCTGGCCAAAATTTGCTGGCCCACTCTATGGCTCCTTCCTGCAGTCCAAAACAGACTGGAGGTTACTGAGGGACAGCAGAGAGAGCCCCACACATAAACTTTCCTCCTCTCCTTGGGAAAGGTGTGTGCTGCTTCAGGAAGGACCCGAGGGAAAGTTCGCCTGCCCAGCCAGTGGTATAGCCAAATTCACCCTGCTGAGCGGTGAGACAATAGAAGTCACTGCCAGAGGCCCCTCAGCTCCTACTAGAGGTTGTCATCTCAACAGCACTAATACTATGAACACTCCGTAACATGAGTCTCTCTTCACAACTAAGAGCATTTATCCTAGAGATATTTCATATATAGATCCACCCTTGTACTCATCAGAAAGCCACCTTTTGAGGATCTCGGTTGAGTCCAGCTCCTAGAACATACCTGACACACAATAAGCACTCGACAAATATTGCTCAATGGATGAACAAGTTAAATAAAAAACAGAATGCTTAATGGAAACTGCTCTTAATTTCAGAGAACTTGAAGGATTCAATAGCATACTAACATCCAGTATTAATTTTTATGCAAGGTATGGATTGAGGCATAGGTACTATAAATAAGAATCTAGGGGCCGGCCCGGTGGCGCACTCAGTAGAGTGTGGTGCTTGGGAGCACAGCGGCGCTCCCGCCGAGGGTTCGGATCCCATACAGAGACCGGTCCACTCACTGGTTGAGCGCGGTGCGGGCGCAACACCAAGGGTTGCGATCCCGTTGCCGGTCACGAAAAAAGACAAAAAGGAAAAAAAAAAAAAAAAGAATCTATAGAGTGAGAGACTTTGGTAATATCTGGGCAAAGACTGCAATTTTTCATTGAAATATTTCCCAGGACCACTTTGCTTGGTATGACTCTGATTCCTAACACTGATCTACATAAGAAAACTTCCATTTTGCCAGCAATTGTTTGCTTCAGCATATAATTAATATTATTCATGTCAATTAAATTATCAACTTATATTTATTGAGCACCTAATGTGTGCCAGGCCCCATGCCAGGCTCTTCATATGTATAACCAATAATCACAATAAAAGGTAGAGTATATTATCTCTATGCAAAAGAAGAGGAAACTGAGGCTTACAGAGGCTAAGTAATTTATCCAGATCACTGCTGGTATAACGCTGAAGCATTATTTGAACCCAGCTCCAGCTGATCCCAAGCCCACATCCCTTCTACTCTGCCACACTTTCCCCATGTTTTCAAAACACCTTATCTAGAGGTTACCTGGAGACTGAAGGAGGCCAAGGAGAGTCAGAATACCCTTGGCTGAAAAATGGGGAAACACCCACACCAAAAAAATAAAAATAAAAAATAAGAGGAGAAATGTTTCAAAATACACCTCTCCTGAAGATCCACCTCTGGTACAGAAATGCATATTGACAGAACAGTTTCTCTGCCCATGATGTTGGGCCTGGCATCTGGTTGCTGCTCCTGTTGCAGTTCCTGGCAAAATTAACCACCCAGTGCAATGGTATCTCATGTCACCCATCTACCATCACAAATGCCGAAATTTCAACCAAGTGGCAGGAAAAAAGGCTGTTTAATGTAAATCAAATATCAATCCCAGTACCCCAACTAAAGCTCTGCCTAATTCAATAAATAAGCGTCACATTTCAAAACGTTTGGAAACCATTCCATCCCAAAGGCATTCCTCCAGAATCATCTTTACATGGAACAATCCTGACCACTCACTATGTCCCAATTCAAGCGCCCATTTTCTGACTTTGTTGAGAGAAGTCTCAGCAACATCAGAGGGACAGGAGCAGCACCTGAGATGCTCTGTACACCCAAGAGACATGCAGGAAGTACATGGTAGCCACCTTAATCAACACCTGGTCATGAACTGACCGACCCACAAGGCACAACCACAACAAAACCAGAGGAAATGTAACGTGACTGACAGTTTCAAAGGTGCATTTCCACACACTCTGTCCATGCTGCTAATCCTCCCAAATGGAGAGATATTTTCAAGTTGAAATCTGAGCTGTTAATTATCAAATGATGAGGACTATGCTGTCTTCCTACTTTGAATGTAATTCAGACATTGTGAGTTGGTGGCATTTTACTGGGTTGTACACACAATAGGTGTTTAATGAGTAAACAGCAGTGAAACAGAATAAATGGGCACCAGAATCAATCATTATGTCTTCTAAAAATAACTCTCTCTCCAAAATTTGAATCATTCTGGCTCAATCATTTCTGTCTTGAAGTGAAGTAAAAGAGCCCAAAACAGTCCATGGGAATGTTTTTGTAATAACCTTTCATAGCATTTGTAATAACCTTTGACTCTCTGTATCTCCCAACACAAAAAGTGCCAACAGGCTGCGAATGTCTGCCCAAATGAGCTTATCTAACTATTTAGGCCGGTTACTTAGGGCTGCGAACATCTCAATACGGAAATATATCTTACTTGAAATTATAATATGTTAATATTAACCGATAGAATCACACACCACTGAAGAAAGCACTCAGTATATTTTTTAGAAAAAGTGAAACAGAATGTACTACTTCTGGAATAAAACAAAAGCAGATCTTAAGCTTTAGGAATAAGCCCTTCACACTGGCCAACGTGGGTGCCCACTACAGAGGATCCCAGGAGCTTCCCCAGGCACAGTTTTACCACCACCTTTGCCTCAGGCAGCAGCCACAGCATCACAGAGTCAAGCAGGACACAAGAAGTTCTTGGTGGTCAGTCAAGAGCATAAACCCTGAGATATGTTTCTAAAGTCACATCCTAGGGGATGTTCTAGGCACAGGGTCCAGAAAGAGAACATTTTTAGTGCCCCCTGGGAGGACCCAACTCTCTATAAAGAAATCATGCTGCACAAACTCTGAGACAATCTGGGCTGGCCCGGTGGCGCACTGGATAAGTGCACCGCTTGGGAAGCGCGGCGGCGCTCCTGCCCAAGGGTTTGGATCCCACATACAGACCGAATAACTATCTCTCCAAAATTTGAATCATTCTGGCTCAATCATTTCTGTCTTGAAGTGAAGTAAAAGAGCACAAAACAGTCCATGGGAATGTTTTTGTAATAACCTTTCATAGCATTTGTAATAACCTTTGACTCTCTGTATCTCACAACACAAAAAGTGCCAACAGGCTGCGAATGTCTGCACAAATGAGCTTATCTAACTATTTAGGCCGGTTACTTAGGGCTGCGAACATCTCAATATGGAAATATATACTTGAAATTATAATATGTTAATATTAACCGATAGAATCACACACCACTGAAGAAAGCACTCAGTATATTTTTTAAAAAAAGTGAAACAGAATGTACTACATCTGGAATAAAACAAAAGCAGATCTTAAGCTTTAGGAATAAGCCCTTCACACTGACCAACGTGGGTGCCCACTACAGAGGATCCCAGGAGCTCCCCCAGGCACAGTTTTACCACCACCTTTGCCTCAGGCAGCAGCCACAGCATCACAGAGTCAAGCAGGACACAAGTTCTTGGTGGTCAGTCAAGAGCATAAACCCTGAGATATGTTTCTAAAGTCACATCCTAGGGAATGTTCTAGGCACAGGGTCCAGAAAAGAGAACATTTTTAGTACCCCCTGGGAGGACCCAACTCTCTATAAAGAAATCATGCTGCACAAACTCTGAGACAATCACAATTTCATTTTACTGTAATGAGAATTATCTCTTTCCAGGTGCATCCTTCCTCCAGGGCTCTTCCCTGGTTTTAAGAGAAACTACTGACAAATCAGAGCACTATCTGGTGAGTAGGAAACCAGAAGGCTGGATGTTAAATGATGCTGTTGGAGGAGCATTTCACCAAAGCTCTCTGAAAACCCAGAGATATATATTTGTTCTGGGACTATATACAACACACCCCAATCACCAAAATGCTCAGGGTCACCTGTATTCTTAAGAATGTGTATTCTCATGGAGTGTTTCTCTGAACTATTGATTCTCTGGCTGATCAAACTTTCCTGGGATATTTTTTCCTTTGAATGCAATTTTGTTATTCATTAAACTAATTATTGGGTGCAGTCCCATTCAATTCCAGAGTTTTCCTACTGTGACAGCCCACCATATCTCCTTTGTGATGGGCTTTTAAACATTAATAGATTTCCATCTACCCATCGATGGTTTTGAGACATTTTTTTTTTAAATCTGGGAAATCTTTCTTCAAATGAACTCTTACTTAGAATTATAATATCGAAAACATGAAAAAGCAGGTCTTCTCTGATTGACACAGGCACAAGTGACCTTGGGCTTGGATTCAACCACACCCAGCTCATTCTTCCCCCCATTCACCCCTTGGGAGATGCCCCAAAAGTTTGGAAGAACACTTAGAATACCACTGGGCTAAATTATACTACAGACTCCCAGCCAGCCCCTATGTTTCTACAAAAACAAGGCCATGTTGTTCAAGGAAAAAGTTCAAATTACAAAAACATTCATGCTTGAAGCTTCTCCACAGAGCATGTCTACTCACCATGACTGGCTTCAGGATGTCCATGTTGGAACGAAGTACCCCCTCAGCTGCATCCAGTTTCTCCCTTGCTAGTCCACAAAGCTCGGAAACTTCTTGGTCACCAAGTTGAATCAGCTCTTCTAATTTTGATCCATTGCACAGATTGATCAAATGTAACTGGTAGCCTTGCAAAAACACCTGGAAGCATTTCATGCAAAGAGAGACAAGCAAAACAGGATTACAAAGATGAAAGCTGGGTCTTTGAAGCCTTTTGGATAGCTTCACATGGGCACCACAGCTTTGAAGATCTTCAAACGGGCACCATTGCAATAGTCTAATGCATTGGGTCTTTTACTCAACTTCAGAATGTATCAAGAGACAACGTGATGGGACATTTCAAACCTGCGTGTTGTGTTTGACTCTGTATTTCCCACGCTCCTGTTCCTCTTGCAAAGGAAAATCCAGAGCAGCAAAACTCCTTTTCACAATAGTGGGACACATGATTCAGCGAATAGGAATCCAGAGTCTGAACTCCCAGAACCACTTTTATTAGAGGAAAAACATCCTCAGTATTTTGGAACTTATGATATCTTAAACTGGAATTGGGCTGACTTAAGGGGG